CAGTCATATTCACAGCAAGATTTGTTGATAGAGAATAGAGTTCACTAGCAGCTTTCACATTTTCTAAAGCACCAGACTCCTCTTATTTGTTCAATTTTAGCCAACTTCAGGCTGAGTATATTTCCCAAGGTTCCTGTGCAAAATTGGTGATTCCCACTCTTCCAATGCCATTTTCTGATGTTTTCTATTCATGTAGTAGAAAGCTTTCTTGTGGATACAGAATAAACATTTAGGATAGGGCCAGGCTCTCAATTTTCTGTTAGCTTCATTCTATTATTTTCCCTAATGCAGGCATCAATCAACATAATTTGTGCCAAGTTAGAAAAGGAAGAGGAGAATAGGGAAATTTCATTAAGTTAAAGGTGATGTTACATTTTGGGTATTGGATCCCTAGACCTATAAATGAGAAATGTTCCACTTACGACTAGAAAAGGGATCATAAAGGTGAAGGAACAAAAAGGCAAGCTCAGAGAGAGATCCAATATGCAGAAATATTTACAATCTTACAAAACTATTTAGTAAAGAATATTTAGTAAAAAAAAAAATCAACTTCTTGCTGATTGCATGATAATTGACCAGAATTATGTGTTTTCCCTGAACACTTAATTTCCTCATTTGTGAAACAGAAATAGAAGTACACACCACGTGAAAGTATAGTGAAGAGTATAAGAAAGAATGCATGTTACTTAAGGAGTATTGTGCCTTGCACTTAATAAAGTCTTGATGTGTGTTAGCTGACTATGTCATTACTTGTATTCCTTCCAGGCAACCAGTAGCAGGATAAAGATTAGTTGTTGAAGACTGAGGAAATTTAATGCAATATGTCTGGTCTAGTCCCTTGCCTCTGGGGCTGTTATATGAATAGAGCTGTATAGAACCTTTATTAGGAAATGTTGGTCAGGGGAGTTCCTTGGATAACTGAAGCACAACTGGTCAGCTCTGGTTGTAAGTGGTTGATAATGTGGCAGCCACCAGTTCAGTGTGTACCCAAGCCACTGTTAGAGAGTCCCTAAATCCCTGCACACTGTGTTCTCTTTGCTCTGGTGGCCAGCCTTATCCACTGACCCTATCACCACCATGTGATAAGGTAAATGCAAAATTATATTACTTGCATTCTTATTAATAATGTGGGGGGGGAGGTTATTGCTGAATGTGGCTGTTGGTCATGGTTTATTTTTCCACACTTTTTCACAATTTATATTCAAAATAGATTGCAATCAATAGTTTTAGTCATAGGTTAGTGCTATCTGGTGAAGAAACCCAAAAATTGCAGCTTGGACATCAGGTAGCAGATAGCAGAGAGTTGAAGTGGCACAACTGAGGAATACCACCAGGGGGAATTTTCTGGGATTTTATACGGTACAGGATAAGCCGACAAAGCACTCAGACACTAAAGCACATTACAAAAAAAATCCTTTAGCTCCTCTCTCAGTTAAGAGAAAAGCTGTGTGTGTGTGCACATGTGAGCAAGAGATTAGGAGTTTTCAGGAACTAGAGACATACTAAGAATATAGCATTTTACACTATATTATTTAGCAAGATATATATGAACATTATAAATATAAGGGACTTTTTTTCTTTCCGTATGAAATGCCTTTTGCAAATGTTGACAAAGTAGTGTGTAGTTAAAATAAAATATTATCTGTGGACCAGATCTAGGCCTAGGGACCACTTGCTTGTGACCTTTACTCTAGGACTTTACTATGATATATTATAAATATACCATGATACAGGATAAGAGGCAATAGAATGAAACTTCTTTATACAGATATATTTCTCCATTGCTTGCTGGTTTTTATCCACATATATTAATTCTGTCTTCAGGAAAAAAAGCTGATGCAAATATTTAAAATATAAGATAAATGGAGTTGTAAATTCAATCAGAAAAACGATGTGTAAACATATTTCCTTTATTTTCAAAATTATTAAGTATATCTTTGGCTAAAAAGTGAGTTTTAAGCACCTTTTTAAAAAGATTTATTTATGCATACAAGAGCTGGGGTACAGGCCAGAGGTGTGGGGGGTGGTGAGAGGATTCACCAGAGACAGAGTGGGGAACAGAACGGGCAGATTGACCAAAGTATACTGCTGAGGGGAGCAGCGGGTGAGTCAGGAGAGGTCTGCTGCACCATGTGGGTAGCTCCCTGGCCAGCCCGGGGATCGAACTCGTGCCGCAGAGGCTGTGGATTGCTTCATAGTGCAGTGCTTAACCCTTGCACCCCAGGGAGGCCCCTTAAGCACCTTTTACAAAAGGATTGCATTTTCTGCTTTATGACTTTTTAAAAATACCTGATTCTCTATATTAAATATTTCCCATTTGAAATGCTTAGTGTAGTTTCTTTTTTGTTGACAATGCCAAGTGATGCATAGGATTTTCATTGACTAGTCCTCACATAAGTGGGCTATGACTCTCATTTTGAGAAAAAAAATGCCTTTGTTTTTACTGGAAGAAATAAATTACACCACCCTTTATTTTTAATTATTTTTATTAGCATTGCACACACCCTTTTAATGCTTATCTTCACTTACTGACTATTCCAGTGGGATAATTCTTGTGTATGATCTTGCAGTAATTTCTTTGATGTGTTAAGGTTACACTAACTTGCAGAAGGACAGAAGTTTAGAGAAATCACCCAACGACTGGGATAATCTTGAGTAAATTGCTGAACTTCGAAAACAACATAAAGATTTATTTCTTAAGAGCCCAGCACCCCAGGTGTCTGAATTTACCATTCAGCTTTAGCCAGTCATTGCCAGTAAGAATTGCACAGCCAAATACTGTCAAATCTCAAGTGTCTTTAAGGGACTTTTTTTCTTTCCGTATGAAATGCCTTTTGCAAATGTTGACAAAGTAGTAAATAAACAATTGTGTAGTTAAAATAAAATATTATCTGTGGACCAGATCTAGGCCTAGGGACCACTTGCTTGTGACCTTTGCTCTAGGACTTTACTGTGCTGGAGCTGGAGGAGTCAAAAATAAAACAAACTGTCCTTTGTCTCAAAATGACCCAAAGCTATTGAGAAAAGAGATAAACACAATACAAATATGCACGAGACAGAACTTTAGCCCAGAGGAGGGTGGAAGTAAATCCAAGCAGGGACAGAAGTGGATTCCTGCCAGAAATGACAACACAGTATATTAACTGGGATTAAAAGGATCTGTAAGGATTCATTAGGTAGGTGCCTGATGTAAGGAAAGGGGCATTTAGAGAGAGGGAGCAACATATACAATAGCAATGCCTCATGAAATAATGTCGTCTTCACAGGAATCTGTAAGAATAATACGACTGAATCATAAATTAAAAGCAGAGTGGAGCGGTGGGGGCAGTGGAAGTGGATGAGACCAAGGAGTGAGCCTAGAGACTAATAATAGCGTATAGCTGTATCCTTTGATTTCATCCAACCAGCAATGGGGAGCGAGTGATAAGTAGCAGCAACATGGAAAGATGAGAAAGGAGAGCATGCCCAAGAGAAATTTGCACAGATGCACCGAGAAACACCTATCAACTGGAGAACGGAAGGGGTGTTGTACAGCACTGACAAGGAATAAACTGTAGCTACACTGGTGAATCTTAGAAATAAGATGTTTAGTGAAAGAAACAACTCCCAAAAGGCTACCTAGAAAAAAAATAGGGATTCTTGTGAAATTTATAAAGAATCAAAACTAAAATTCAGTTAGGCACACTTATGATGATATATGTAAAATGAGCAAGGGAGTACATTTTTTAAATTTATTTTATTTTATTTTATTTTATAGAGGCATGTTTTAATTATTTTTTTATTTGTTTGTTTGTTTATACATGCACTGGGTACAGTCAGAAGCGCGGGAGGGTGAGAGAATTCACCAGAGCCAGAACAGGGAGCAGAGTCAGGTAGAAGGACCGAAGTACACTGCTGAGGGGAGCAGCGGGCGGCAGGAGAGGTCTGCGCGCCATGGGGGACCCTCCTCTGGTGGCCGGGGAGCAGCCGGGGATGGAACCAGCGCTGCAGAGGCCGCGGGCAGGTTCGCAACCCAGTGTTCAACCGCTGCGCCACCGGGGAGGCCCGGGAGTAACACATTTAAATCAAGCACTGGTATTTCTTTGGGAAGAAAGTTGGGGGAAAGGTGGTAAGATTTAAATTGTTAGTAATAGTCTAGTTCATTGGTTGAGGACTGGACTCATGGGGTTTTATTGTGATTCAGAAGGGTAAATCACTAGATAAGCACTCATTTATGGGCCCACGATGAAACTGATCACCCAGGATTATGCTGATCTATTCTCTGTACTGAGGACTTAAGAACCACAGATGATGTATTTGAAAGATGTTGAGTTTGAGCACCCCCACGCCCCACGGTAGCGCAGGTGGTTGAGCACTGCACTGTGAAGCTGTCTGTAGCCTCCGCAGCGCGGTTTCGATCCCCGCCAGCCGGCAAGGGTCCCACATGGCGCAGCAGACCTCTCCTGTCTCGCCCGCGCTGCCCCCCTCACCAGTGCTTTCAGTCCGTCTGCCTGTTCTGCTCCCTGCTCTGTCTCTGGTGAATCCTCTCACCCTTTCGCGCATCTGGCCTGTTCCCTGGTTCTTGTATGTATGAATAAATAAATCTTTAAAAAAAATGTTGAGTTTGAGAGATGTACTTGCTGTTTAGTTTGGAAGAGGAATCTATTCGTTTTCAAACTTCTCTCTCCCTTAAATTGGTTCTAGATCTGCTCCTCCAAGGGAAGAGGCCTCACCGAGGCCCACGTGCTTTTACCTCCCGCGCTTTTTGCCCTTTGCCCTTGGCCATCATCTCCACCCAGCCACTGGGAGGCGTCTGGCGCCCAGCAGGGGGGCGAGGGGCGGGGCGGCCCGCGGATCCGAAGCCTTCCGATTGGTGGAGAGCAGGAGCCCGAGCGAGGCTGAGGCCGAGCGCGGAGGAGAGGGGTGGAGGGGCGGAGGGGCGGAGGGCGGAGCCGGCGGGGCGGGGCCAGAGGCGCTTAACGGGAGCGAGGCGCAAGTGCAATTGTCCGCGCCTCGCTGCGATGGCGGCGGCGCCGAGCACAGTCACCCCGCTGGCGGCGGAGTCTTCCCCTCAGGAAGCTACCGTCTCTGCCGCCTCCTCCTCCTCCTACACCGCCTGCGCGGCGGCGGCGGCGGCGGCGGCAGTGATTGTGCCTGCCTCCCCCGCCACCTCCAGCCCTGCCTGCCCGCCTGCCGGTGGCTGTGGCGACGGCGGCGGCGGCTGTAGCGACTCCACTATGGCGGCGGCGGGGAGGGGGGGCAGTAGTTTTAAAGTAGACACCCGCCCTTGCCTCAGAGAAGGTGAGTTCCCGTCCCGGGGTGTGGGGGCGGCCCTGTCTCCTTCGCTGCCTCTCTTCAGCCCGGCCGAGATCGGGCTGGGCGCGGTTCGCCACCGCCCCACCCCCACCTGCTGTGGCGCAGTAAAGGCCATGCTCACCCCGCCCCGCCCCGCCGTATTAGCCCCGAGTGTGCCAGACGGACCGAGGCAGAGAGGGCCTTCCCTACTCCCCTCCCCCGAATAGGATGGGGGGGGGTGCAGGAAAAGGAGCCGCAGGTCCCCACCAGGCAGGAGTTTGAAGGGAAAAGGAATACATAATTTCTCTCCCAGCCAGGGCGCCTTAGAATGCTAAGGATCCGAAGTGTGATTTGGTAAAAGAGGAGGTAGAGTAGGAGAGGTTCAGGGAAAGGGGATTGATGAGAAAGGGAGCAGAGATCAAAGCCAAAAGGGCCAAAGAAAGGAGGAGGCAGCCCCCCCCCCTTTGGTAAAATTCAGCGTCCTGCAGCATAGAAATTTGCAGCGGATATTTAAGGAGAGATGAGTTTAGGAATTTGCGAAGGTGAGAGCATATATATATACATATATATGAACGTTAGGGTCTGTTGGATTTTAGGATCTGTTGCATTTAGGATCCTAGGGTCTTGTGGAGGCTCTGTACTGAGGAACCAAGAGAAGCAGAGTGTGGCAGAAGCACAGATTTCAGGAATCACTTCGGAGAGTTTTTCTTTGGCTATGCGAGGATATGACCTTGTAAAACAAGGTATAGGGACCCATCTTTAGGGTGGTTTTTGGTTTTTAGTAAGTGTTATACCTACCAACACATGACTCCTGACAAATATATTTCTTTACTATTTCAGAATAAGTGGTATTTAGTTCACACGAAGTACTATGTACTTGTCAACAACCTACTAATAGACTGTAAAATTTGCCATTGAAATGTGTTTGAAAGCAGTTTTGGAAATGCTTCTTAAATGGTTGAGATGGATTCCACTATAGAAGATCTCAGTAAAGCATTTTGCCATCATAAATTTTGAAGTTGTTTTCCAGTTTTTGCTGTGTTACCTTATGTTGCTAATTTGCTTCCAGAGTGAAAGATCGTGGACGCCAAAATAGAGTAGAATAATTTAACTTCCTTTTTCTTAGGAATCCCATTAAAATTACCCCATACAAATAATTTTTTCTACAGCTATTCTGTGTGCTTTTCCATAGCTTTTCACACCTTTCACTTTGGAGGAATGGCAAAGCAGTAAAATAAAATAAAATAAATTTATATATATATATCCCTTACAATATGTGCATAGGTACATTGCATAAATGCCACTTACTAAATATGGAAATTAGAAATACACTGTAAAACAGTGATTTATTCACTAGCTCTTAAGGCAACCAGTGAAAGACTGTTTAGCATCTTCTGTCAGCCTGGATTTGTACAGTTGTTCTGGGATGAAATGAAATCTGTTTTTTTGTTTTTCTACCAAAATTTCTGCCTATAACTAGTAAGGAGAGAACAGTTTCATAGGTGCTCAATGTTCCAGTTCAGTTTTGCTCTTGTAGCTTTTTCATAGTAAAGGTTAGGGCCAGTATCTTGGGAAAAATAGCTTTTGGCCTGATTCTGTGACTGATTTGGTCACAGTATCTTTGAATATATGTAAATAGCAATGGTTTTAAGAGCTATAAATTTATAAAGTAGCAGCAGTAACCTATCTTTCCTATTGCTAGGTGGTAAAATGAAAAATAGCCCTAGCATAAGAGTCTGGTGTAGTTAACCTAGGTTCTGTTCCTAGTTTAACCACTAGATTTTGTGAGCCTCGCCATATCCTAAACTTTCTGGATTTGGATTTGTCAAGAGTTATTGCACTGACCAAACTTTGAGGTTGATTTCACATCTGAAAGCATGAATCATGACTTTGTAGTTCTGCATTAATAATTCTTTCAAAGACATTGCCATAGCTATGCACTAGAACAGTACTCCATAAGTCACAAGAAACCTTGACTGATAGTTATCATCTGACATTCAGTGAGTAATGAAATATTTATTGTTAACCTGAGAGAATTTCCTAGAATATGAAAAAATTAAATATGATTTTAGGTATACATCCTTCATTACTATTCGGTCCAAACCAAACCACTCAGTTTTTCAGTTAACAAAGGGTAACTATTGATAGCATCCAAAACACTATTAGTTCTCAAAATATTTTTGTTTAGCTATTTATACAGGCCACAAATGGTTGCCAATTAGGATAGTGGATAAAGGAAAAGAGAGAAAAATGTTGCTTGGTGGTATACCAATATCTTTTGCTTCTTGTTTGTTTTTTAAGCCCTAGTTAGGAGGTTGCTCTAAAAGTTAGCAAAAAAATTTGTCAATATTTCAGTTATTACAAGTCCACTCTGGATAGGACCTTTAAAAGTGGTTTGATAAAGCATTTGCTGATCCATTTTCAATGATAGCCTAACAGTTCTGAGGATCTCATCTGTTTGGGGGTTGGTAATGAGCAAACATCAGTGGACATCAGGCATTGACCAGCAGGGAAGATTAGAAGCTTCCTAAGGTTACAACTGGGGGATTGAGCAATAAACAAACCAAAGAAATGCCAAGTGAACAGACATATGAAAAGACATATATTCACCCAGGAACCATTGTTAAGATGAGTCGTGAGAATTTGTAGGACCCTTCATATTTCATTCAATTAAGTTTTTCAAAAATGTTGTATGACTCAAAAATAAAATTTTCACCTGTATTAATGTACCAGTGCAATTATAGTAAAAATCAAAACAAACAAACCCTCTTGTTGATTTACCTCTTCCTTTTATGAAAAAGAAATTAGTAAATGGTTCTATTTTAAATTGACATTCTGGCTTTTTACTTAATTCATAGGAAAGTTTGCACAGCAGATACCTATGGAAGCTTTCCTTTTTCTCTATGTCATTGGTTAAGTTTCAGGTCATAAGATCTAGTTAATAGCCTTTCCTTCATTTATTCAGGAGTTATTTATTGAACATCTATAAATGTGTGTGCCGACACTATGCTCAGTGTTGAGATTATACAAAGTAGATACAACGGCTTTGTTAAAGAGCTCAATTGTAGTGCTTGATAGTAAAATTAAAAAAATGAACAAAATAATTAGAGAAATGCAGCTTTAAGTATAACTGTTCAAACTACTACACTATCAGGACTATTCCAATGTTTATTATAAATCTGTACTCTGCCTGTAATGTCTTATATACTGTAAACACACTAAAGCACATTAAATTATAAATCTAATATTGGTATCTAGAAAGAATAATTAGCAAACTGTTAGGATTTTTAGTTCTCCGCATTTGCCAGGATGGGGATGTCTGAAGAGAAGCGAGATTAATGACCGTTTGTTGGTTTCAGACCCTTTATCAATATGTGAAAATGTTCTAAGCATGCCCCATACATCACAATGTTAGTATAGGGACTTACTCTTTTCCACTTGAAACCAATCTTGCAGATTCATTCACATTTACTAACCTTTTGGAATTAATGGCTTTGCTTTCTGAAGTAGCGTAGCTGTCATGGGATCAAGTAAATTAGTAGATAACAGACTTTAATTCAGCTTCTGATCACAAGTATGACTTCTGAACTTGCCACAGAATACTTATGATGATGAAGATCAAGGATTTAAGTTTATTTTTTTAATTTTATTTTTATATTCCCCATACAATTGCAACCCCCTTATTTTGACCCCAATCCCTCCTTTCCCCCGCCCCAAGGACTTAAGTTTAAATAAAGACAAAGGACTATTAAACATATAATTAGTACTCCCAATTATTTTGTAAAATCCATTGAATTTGGTAATTGTTAATATGCTCTGAGAAAGCCTTCAGTTATTTATGTGATTGCTGTAATCTATGTGAAAATAACTAAAACTTGCCAAACTCATATGTCAGATACTAATTCTATAAACTGAGCGAATAAGGATATTACATAGCATTATAGCTATGTGTTCAGAATATTGACAGGTACAGATCTGTATTTCTAGCACAATTAATATCTTTGAAAATTCTTTAAATGGAGTGTGACCTTTAGGGAAATGCTTTAGGGGAAACACTTTGACAAGGTTAACAAGGTCAGTTCCCAGTCTCGTTGAGCTCTGGTCATTCTTTCCTGAAATTATGTGTATCAAAAGATAGCACAGGTCAAATCAGCTATCTTTTTTAAAATCCCTTTTAATTAAGAATGTTTAAGGGAGGTTATCTCTACAGGTCTAATATAGTACATACACTCCTTGCAGAATTAAAATTTTTATTTCTCAAATTTCTTAATGCCTGAGTTTAAATCTATGGCTAAGAATGAGATGTTTACAATATTTCACCCAACCCCCTCTGAGATTTGTTCCATTCTTATCACTTTATTAATATAGGATAAGCAAATGGTTCTTTATAATGCTAGATTTTTTTTTTGCATCAAGATCAGTGGTACTATGAGCTACATAGTTAAATCATTAAAGCATATAATAGCTAGTTCTTGCCATACATATGATGAATTGTCCTGAGGAGGTATTTTAGTATTTTGTACAAATCTAATTATCGTGTTACAAATGCAAGTAAGATTTATTTTATAACTGCTAAAGTATGCTTACTTTAGCATAACAATGAAGCTACTTGGAGTAGGTCCAATCCCACAAATATCTCCAAAGTGTGAGTTTCTGGCACTTTTTGATATCATCAAGGCCTGATAGTCTGATGCAAGCTGAAGTACATATTTTATATCAACATTGTGGGTTTTAGTAATGCCCACGTCCATAGAATGTAAATTGTTAGTACTCATTTGTATTCCACTGATTGAAGAACATCCGTCTACTTAAACTATTGGAATTTTTTGATGATTGAAAGCAACTGCAAATCTAGAACCATATATTTTACATTGTAATTTTCCCATCCTTTATTTCCTTTAACTTCTGTGGGACTTAGTTTTCTCATTTTGAAGTGACGACATTAGACTAAATCAGTTATAAACTAAAGGCAGTTTTGCCCCACAAAAGACAGATGGCTATGTCTA